CCCCCCAAAAAGTGATTTTTCCGAAGTCTGAGTGCAGCCATTTTTCAAGTGGCAACCCTCAACTTTATGGGGCACTTAGGACCATTTTTCAACCGTAGTTTTTAGCCCTTCTGCTCTCATATGAAAGCTCAAAGACCCAGGGAGTTGATCCTTGCAACGATTTACACAATATCACCATTTTTGGGGCCAAACAGTCTCCTTTTTCAAAAGATGCTGTGGGGGGGGGGCACCTTTATGCTAATGAGCTGGCCACAAATTCTCACTTGAATTAGTGGTCTGCACCCCTCTTGACGAAAAATCTCAGACAGAGCAGTCGGAGATTCTTGGTCTGGGAACCAGACTAAACACCTTTTTGGCCGAGTTCTCCATATTGCGTCGCTACGCGGCGCTACACAATCTTTGATTTATATCTCAGGACGTCTAGCACACGTTATGTATGTATGTACACTGTACATGTACGTCCGTATACACAGCAGAAGTACAGTACAGCTGGACTTCCGAGCTTGGAGTGTACGTGCAGCGCCAGCGCTCGTCGGAGCGGCCGGTTGATTATCATAGCACTCAATTCGGCGGGTAAGATAACGTTGCTTTTATGGGCCTGTGTTTTCGTAGTTTTGGCTAGGTTGATTCTGTACTGAATTCACGTCTTTACATGCCATTTTGACCAGATCCTTGAGGTTTTTGTCTAAACAAATTCTTTTTTTTCATAAAGGCATGGAGGTACTTATTATAGTAGTACGAAAAGAACTCCAATTTAAGTCCAAACTCCATCCATGGTAAAGGGAAGATCAGAATTGCTGGAGTGGAACGTCATAAATTTTTTATATTTTCATGGTGTTGTAAATTGAATTGTTGATCCAAATGCCCCCTCCCCTGGCCATGCTGGCCTTCGACCATGATACTGTACATTATTACTACATGTACAGTAGCCAAGGGTCAGTCGGTGGAATTGGAAATACATGATGTAGGCCTACTGCCTTAACCTGACCCATGTACTGTTTAGTGTTTATTCCTTTATGACTGACCTTTGACAAAGTCTACATGAATGGAGCGTTTGGTTTAGGCTCGTTTATTTTCGAAGAAGGCCTAGGCTATTTTCCAAGAAAATTTGGAGTTCTTTTTCAGTTAGAAGTGACTGACCTTAAGAAAAAGATCATAACTGAATTGCTGGCATACTTTTTTGGTTATACGCACTGTCAGAACCTGTAGGCCTGCATTAAATCATTGAACTGTTTGCTGTCATCTGCTCGTGTTTTTTAAGTAGCTGACGGAAAGAGTTCCATATATGGACAACACTAATTTTCCTTTAAAATGTTATTACAGCCATTAGAAAGTGATAGCATGTCTTGAAAGTGAAATTTAGCCGGAAAATTCTCTAACATTCACTTAGAAAACACTTGTATGTTTTTTCAAGCAAGCCTCACCGAGGCATCGAGTGTTGTCTGTATATGAAACTCTCTCCCAGCTGACATTGAACTACATACATGTACCTCTCTAAGCTTGTAGTCAGCAAAGTCTACATGTACTTCTGGAGGCTGGGGCAAAGTTTGTGCAAGAAAAAATTAAGTGCGAGAAAATGCTTTCAATCTTGGAGCTAGTTTATACTGTTTTTGTTAACCCCAACTCCCCAAGAGTGATTTACTAGGAACCATACCCATTCACACAAATTCCAACACCATATGGTAAACTGTGCACAATAACTG